GTCTGGGCGACAAAAGTTATGATATTGCCAATTTTTAAATTTTTCGCTAAAATATACTTTCATAGACGGAACGGTGCTCCAGACGACAAAGCTGGATACAGAAGTGGCACAATGTCGCATTTTCAGACGAGTCCCGGTTCGGCGTGCCGTATTCTGATGGCCGTATACGTGTCCGGAGGCTCTGAGAAGACCGCACGTCGTCTGCTTGCATTCCATATCGGCATAAGGGCCCTGTAACTGGTGTGATGGCACAGATAGTCATTGGGTACACGACACTCATATCTCTAGTTCGGATCGATGGTAATTTGAACGAAAACCGAAACATTTCTGACATCTTACGTCCAGTGGTTGTGTCCTATCTTCGAGGCCTGCCCAACACCATCTTCCAAAACGGTAATGCCAGATCACATGTCGCACGTCATGTTCTGACCTTTCTCGATACACAGGGTACTCAATTGCTACCCTGGCCTACACGGTCTCCAGATTTGTCACCCACTGAAAACATCTGGTCATGTGTTTCTGAGAGACTGCCCTGCCACTCGTCTCCAGCTAATACGGTTGATGAAGTGTGTGGCATAGACCTGAAGCAGCATGGAGTGAGTTGTCCGTTTCTGTTCTCCTAGGGCAGTTCGATTTCATGCTTAATCGGGTAAGGACCGTTTTAGCTGTCAGGAGTGGCAGCTGTTTCTACTAATATCGCAGCCCTGTAAAACCCTCAGAGTGCTGACAAATTTATTAATTTTGTCGTCTTGCTATACCGTTTACTTTCTATAAATATTTTTGTATTTGCTTTCCTTCATGGTGTTGCAATTTTAATGGCCAGCAGTGTAGTTTAACGTATTATACGTATATTAACCAGGTTGGACTATTTTGAATTTTCGGGTGTTCTACATGTTCAAAATATTAAAAGAAGATGGGATAGGTCAGACATTAATGTACAATAAATGAAAAGCAACGCTGTATTACGTTTTGCTGAAATATATTACTGAAAAACCCTATTACCTAATATCTGAAAATAGTTAACTAAACCAATTATTTCATTAATAATATAATTCGACGCCACTGATAAGAAAGAGTTCATGCACATGTCTTAAAATAGCAAAATGTGCTCGGACACAGGGTACCTGAAGTTTATTTCAGGCATCGATCCACAATTAGCAGTTGCCTGCTTTGCTTGATAGTCCAACAAAACCATCCATCCCTTCCTCTCCGATGAGAAGAACAGGGGTCAGAAAATATTATGACACACGTATTTTATTATTTTCTGTAGTCAAATTATTAATGAGATTTTAAGAAGTTACGTTTGTGAGAACCATTACATTGATGATATTTTAAACACACATAATACTCTTCAGGAAAACAATTAGATTATATATTTTAATGACCGAAGCGCCATCGCATGAACCTCCAACCTAAGGTTCTATACTAATCAGAGTTATGTCCATGCGACGGAAAAGAATCTACCATCCACTGCCGGCGGCATTCATTGAATCAATGAGAGAAATATTACAAAGCTACATTGACAATGCCATCTTTACAATAATTGTTACATCATAATCCGTTTGAAAAAAAATATATACAAACAATTAATCATTACATTGTCATGGATAGGATCCATGCTACGGACAGTGGAACTTATATTATATATTAACCAGTCTCTAAACCTATGTCTACTTCAATACGTCATAACTTCGTATTCTAATCAGTTACACACCTAATGATGTGTGTCCGTACTATTGTTGCAGTTATCCACAGAGTGCGTGAGTGACGGAGGACGTGGCAATCACCTCTCTACCATATTGGTTAATTGATATAGCTCCCACGTCCATCCTTATCTAAAGCAACCTTGGTACATTTAGGTTGAATGCTTAGTACACATTACTGAGGATTTGAAAGTAAAAACTTTCTTAATTATTACTATACATTACTGAACACATTGCTGAATGCTTAGTACACATTACTTGGGATTGAAACACAGGTACACATTTTCATTTACAGAACATTGGTACACATTTACATTTAGTTGCTCATAATTTAAGATACACATTATCATGATTTCCATAATTTGGCACACATTACTGAAGACATTGCTAAATGCTTAGTACACATTACTGAGGATTTGAAAATAAACACTTGCTTAATTATAATTACTATACATTACTGAAAATATTGTTGAATGTTTAGTACATTACTTGGTACTGAAAGTAAATACTTGCTTAATTATAATTTTTATATATAACTAACACATTGCTGAGGATATGAAATTGAACACTGGCTTAATTATAATTATGCTATTTACACAGATATATGCACATATTCGTTTGGAGACTTATTTTATTCATACACCTATCTGTGGATTTAAATTTAAGCACTTGCGAGATTTTAGTTATAGTCCTCTATATACTTTGTTTTGCACCTGGTTATTGGATGCCTACGGAAGCATAGTACATTCCTTAGTACACGTCACTGGATTGAATACTTGGTACACATCGCTAGAGATTTGAAAATGTGCGCTTGGTAATTTAAGCAATACTGTATGCACATTGTTGTGCACCTATTATTTGGATTCTTATGTAAATGTTGTACATTCTTTGGTACACATTGTTGAGCACATAATTGAATATTTAGTACATATAACAAGAGATTAAAAACATAAACACTCGCTGTATAGTATTAATGCTATATACACATTGCTGCACCTGTTGGTACATTATATTAGTGTATTATTCGCATTTTTGCATCTGTTGGTATACATTAGAGTATATATTGAATACCTGGTATTAGTTGCTTGGTATTCTTGCAGTATTGCAGAACATATTTTTGAGTACTTGGTGCTCATTGCTGGAGGCTGAACATTTTACACATTTGAACACCTCAATATTTACACATATTTAAACACATTTGTGAACCTGTTTGGTCGATGTTTATGTAAGCATAGTTCATTCCTTGGTACACATTACTGGACGCATTACGGAGTACTTGGTACTCATAGCTGGAGATTGAAGATTTGAGAGTAGGCCAGTCACATTAGTTCAGGCAGTTGATAGTTCCATAGCCCAAAGTTTATGATGTTGTGTAGACTATTATATTTTAGTGACCGAAACGCCGTCGTATGAACCTCCGACCTAAGGTTCTACATCAGAGTTAATGTCCATGCGACGGAAAAGAATCATCTATTTTTAGTGAATATTTTATTGACCGTGACTGTTGCAGCGATGGGCCAGTGTTCGATCCCCGAGAAGGCATGGTTGCAACAGTTAATCTATTCACAGGAGGCAACAGTGGCCGCCAGTTAGGTGCTTCCATAAAAAAATGGTTACCACTTCCTGCCCTTGGAGTGGCGCAAGGCTAATGGCTCTTAAATAATTCCGGCCATTAAAAATATTTAATTTCCTTTTTTTATATAAAAGTTCTTAAAATCACCAACCTTTCGTATGTCTCTGTGAGCGGCTTTGCATGAAGAGGAACATACTGCCAAGTTCCTACACAGGAAATAAATCAATATTTAAAGTTTATTAAACAAGAATACCAATTTTCTCTTGTACTGAAATCGAAGCACTGTAAGCACTTACGTCAGCTCTAACTTATGAAAGATGTCAATAATAAAGATTTGATTCAGAGAAAGAAGAAGCAATTTTCATGAATATAATTATAAGGAGGAAGAGTGCAATGCTTGGATAGGGGTGAAATTTCGGCAAACCGCGTCATAGGAATATACAGAGATTAGAGCACACTACTTGCCGTATATAACATACATAAAAGCAATTTTAAACACAGTAGAAGGGCTACCAAATAATGCACGGCTCTAATATTTGGTGTCAACAATTGAAAAGTGAACGCTGTTTTATAGTGGACGACGCAAAATGACACAACAAAATTAATAGCCTTTCTGGCCAAATAGCCCATGTGGGCTAAAAGAATTAAGCTAATATTCTTTTTTTTATACATGCAGAAGTTTCTTCTTTTTATGTAATAAATTTTCTTATGTTACATTCATCAGAAAAAGAATTCATATTGATCTTAAAAGATTATATAACTTGATATATCTTCTGGATATATGAATAATTTTTATCATCATATGCTTTCCAAATACATGCACAAAGATAAAGCAGGACAAGATGACGAGGGAAAAATGTTGGATTTTATTTTTTATCAGCTAACTTTTCCTTCAGAATAAAAAAAGGCAAAATTTAAAAAATAAATCAGTTTAACAATCAAGAACTTAAGAATATTTTATTGTTTGATTATTAAGCTTTTTACCTCATTATAGAGTTATCATTTTTTATAAAAAAAATTCCTTAAAGCACAAAACAATATTTTGTTACTGCAAATACTTTAATCGGATTCTTTGTTCCTTATCCTTAATTATTTAGGCAATAGCTTTTAGCATGCCTGCTATAATTTAAATTTATCCAATCTTATCAATGTTTGTAATTTTTTAGCATTCTCATTTTTGTAGTATTTTGGAGTTAACCAAGTCCTTTTTCATACTGAAAATTTCAGTTGATATTGCAGAGACTTAATAGAAAGCAAGGACTTTGTATGCCAATTCAAAACTTTCAAATCTAATTTCACCTAATTTTTATATTATATGGCATTGTTTTATCTTTTAAAACTTAAATCATTTTTGTAAATTAAAATATTTAAATTCAATTGAGAAAAACCTTACGTACAAATATTATTAACTTGGTTTGACAAAAAAAGCATATTTTCTTAAATTTTACAGGAAAGCTTGTTAAATGCTTAGTAATCAATGTGAAGTGATTAGATTAATTACAGCTGTTGGCAAGATAAAAAAATCATGAAACATGTTTTCATTAACGAATGCAATTCAGTTCAACGGCCAATTACAGCTGTTGGCAAGATAAAAAAATCATGAAACATGTTTTCATTAACGAATGCAATTCAGTTCAACGGCCAATCTGGAGATTAAACTAAGAAACTGGTCATCGCTTAAAAATTTTAGGAAACTGCACGGAATCAGGATAGAGAAAACTTACCAGAGAATGTTCCTTTCTTGAACTATGATTTGTTTCTACTCAGTTTCGTTAAAGAAGGGCCATGTGGAAAAGGATCTTCGTCAACACCGTCGCCCTAGCCGAGTTTACTTGACATCTCCCTGTCAGAAACAGACCTTGCTTCGCTTTGCATCATGGGTAAGTGGTTCAGGAGTTTGAGGGGGCAGCTACAATCTACTTTTTCTGTCAAAGGTAGAACACTCTTCGCAGAATAAGTCTGTTATAAGATCGGGAATGATAAAAGATATACTACTTTATTTCAATTATATTACAGCGCGTAATTAGCATTATAGTAATTTAAATGCTGAATAACGTTTTCTTGTACTGCTATTATTTCTTCTCATTTTTAGGACAGTATAATCGGCTGAAGTTATTAGGATGGAGAACTTCTCCATCGACCAAAGAAAGAAAGTTGTTCGAATTTGCTTTAAAAACCAACACAGTATTCTTTTGGAGAAATGAACAAACCGTTAACTTTCATAACGCGTCTAACAAACGGTTAAGCATTTTCAGCGAAATACAATCGCTCTCTTGAGGAAAGTTTTGGCAATCACGAGATTAAAAAACCTGTAATATTTTTTCTATCCACCACGTAAAAGTAGGCAAACATTTAACGATTGCAAGAACAAGGCCAATATTCCACGAATAAATCAAGAATTAGGACTCGAAATTCTAACGGAGTTATAAACAAAGAATTCTCTCAATGGATCTTGTCAAGTAGAAGTTTTCAGTTTCACCCATTTGCCAAGAGTTACTTTTAGAGCCTAATTTAAATATATGTCCATATAATGCATTTAACGTGAATAACACAAAATTAGTGATGCTGAAAGCAAATATGTTATTCATTATTTCAACTGTAATATTAACTATGCGCCATCCAATGTAATAAATATAAAGCTGGAAAAAAGAAATGAAACACGTTCCTTTACATTTTTCTTTATTCGACATACTACAATGTACACAATAAGATAGAATATGCATTAAGCATATTAGCAAATATGCTTAACATATATTATATCTTATTACTGCAACCATGACATGCGCCCTAATATTACGGTGACACAAATCAAAACACAACACGAAACAAAAAATCAAATCAGTGGAAATAAGTTCTGAAACAGAGGTAATTATCACAAAATTAATTAAGAAAAGTTGACGATTCCTTGGTCTTTCTCAAATAACAACCGGAAAAATTATCAACAAGAATCACTTTTCTGAATCACAGAAGCAATCAATTAAATTTAATTAAATTAAACATTTATTCAAACATTATAATTATGAAAAAAATTAAAGGAACACTTTAAAATAGCATGCATTTATTTATCAAACAAGACTCGAGAAAACATGCATTTTATATTTTATAAATTTAATAGTAATTTAGATATTAAGTAAAATGAATTAGATAATAAGTAAAATGAATTACAATTAAAATTAGAATGAATTAGAATTAAAATGAATTAAAATTAGATATAAGTAAAATGAATTTGGAGAACGATAGATGCAGATTAATCGTTGAACAAACAGAAGATTTTTAAAGAAAAAAAATAAAAGTTTATTAACTAATAAGAAAACAATTGTAGAGTCATTAGGCTATTTCGAAGCAGGAGAGATGAAAAATGAGCAATGCCCTCGCCGGGAATCGAACCACGGACCTCTGGAAATACGAGCCCAGCGTACTGACCACTACACTACGAAGGCATGCTAAGAAGACGAGAGAAATACCTTATACAATAAGTAATAAAAATATTTTTAAGAAATAAAGAATAAACATCTTTTAAATAATTAAGCGCACGAAATGCTTAAGTACTAACAGATAAAAATAGTAACTTGAATTAGCAAAGAAGTAGACTTGCTTAAAAAACTAATTGTAAAAAACATTATATCTAACTTGAACATTATATACAGGGTGTTTATAAAGTCCCGGACCCAGTTTGATGTTTAATAACTCATAAAATAATGAAGATATAAATAAACTTATGGCATTTATTGATGGAATAACTTATATATTTTCCTTTTCAGGTTTGAATATCTTTACTTTTATAAATATTGTCTGCGCCTGTGGTTAATTTCAGATAATTTCATTTTCCAGTCTAAATATATGTACTTTTCTAAATATCGTCTGCTTATTAATTGCATTTTCTCACTTTTGTTTTTGGCAACTATTGCAATGTTATGGAATTTTTCCTTTGGGGATTTGTAAAGGATGACATTTACAGGAGGAGAGTGTCGAGCATGGATGACCTAAAAGCCAGAATTACAACCGCAATAGCCTCTGTGGATGCCGACATGCTTGCCGGTACCTGGCGTGAAATTGAATATCGACTTGATATTTAGTCGCGAAGGAGCCAAGGAGTTCTGCAGTCATGAACTTTTGAGTCACTAACCATTTAGTAAATTTAATCTTCTTTTTTTGGTTATCTCTGGTCGGCTTTATCTTTATATAATATATTATAATTTATTTCCTAAACAATATTGATTAATTGATTATATTATCTCCTAAGTTTAAATTAAAGTAGAATTATTTTAAAAGAGGGAATCCATACTGGTAAGTTATATTTCGAAAGATGTTTTGAAGTAATTTGAAAGCAAAATGTTAATAATGTTTTAACGGTGACTGGAGTTAAATCATCATGAAGAATAAAATTCAAAATTCACTTCAAAACATCTTTCAAAATATAACTTACCAGTATGGATTCCCTCCTTTAAAATCATACAACATTATATATATATATGTACAAGCACGTTTAGCATGAGCCTAAAGCTGATTTAGGTAATTCGAAGTGCGGGATGAGAACGCTGTTCTTATATACTCCTTAACTAATTTTCATGATGTTAGTTAACGACGAAAGGAGAAGGGACAATTAATATAAAAATAATAAGACAGTGGATAAACAAACGAAAAAATCTTTCTATAATGAAACTTCTCTCATTTCCTTCACTCGGATGATCGCCATCTTAGTGAGCATAAGCCGTACGCCGTGCTTGTAAATGCTTCTTAAGGAATTTTACTGAAGTAATTACTGTAGGTTGAATGGCAATATTTAGGGCAACAATGAGATTATGATTAACTATAAAATACAAGTTACCACCTTAGTTAAGTTTCTTCCTGCTCCCGCATGTAATTAATTTCTTAGAAATTTTAAGGCTACTGTGGCTCAAATTTGTTAACATTCTAGAATCATTAGTTTTGTCGAAGCAGGAAACATGAAAAATATTTAGTCGCCTCGATGAGATTCGAACTAAGAACTGCATGATGCTAGTCAGATGGGCTTTCCAATTACAGCACGAAAGCACGCAGTAGGGAGAAAGAAAAACATTGCATCCTTCCCACTTAAAGGATGACTAGAGAGGAAAGGATCCAATTGCCTAGCCTTTTTTAATAGTTAGGGTGCTATGTAACTCATTAGTTTTGTCGAAGCAGGAAACATTAGAAATGTTTAATGCCTTTGCCTGGAATACAACTCGGACACCTCGATGTTAATTGCACGTGCTTCTCCATTGCACCACGAAGGAGCGAGGGAGAAAAACCTGAAAACTTTTTTTGTAGTTTGAGTAATTAAGATAAAATTTTAAGACCAGCTCTTTCTCAATTCGTAAATAGTTACTGGTGATATTTTGAATTTGCTGGTGAATTTTTTGTAGTTTGAGTAATTAAGATAAAATTTTAAGACCAGCTCTTTCTCAATTCGTAAATAGTTACTGGTGATATTTTGAATTTGCGAGAAAATTTACAAATAGAACTGTCCGGTCTCTCGACCAAACTTCCATTTTTCATACCTGTTTATTTCTTTTTCCAGTCTTTGTTTGATACAGATAACTCCAATTTCTTCCTTTTACTTTTAAAGAATAGTAAAAAGCATTTCTTTTTATATTTAACCACTTTAAAAACATTGAAAGATCAGGAATAGAGCAGGTATTGTTTCCTAAATCTTCCATAATATGAAAATTTACTGTTTCATTCTCAATAGCTTTCGTTAAACCATTTCCTTCTCTTTCACAAACGGTTTTAGAATTGAATTAATCTGCTACTTATTGAAGTAAATAAATCGCCGTTGCCATCACGTATTGAAAAATTTGTCTATTTCTGTTTAATTACTCAAACTTTTAAATACTGTAAAAGCCTCATTCGTATCCAAAGAATTCATTAATTTTTATTTTGCTAGCCAGAAATTCTTATTTTCGTTTACTGAATATACTAACGCATGAATTCTAGCTACTAAAAACACATATTGTCTTGCAATTTTTTTGGTTCTGGTATCATGTGAATGTAATTACTGAACAATTGATATAAAAATGTGCTTGGCTCATTCATATTTAATTCTTAAGAGGTATATTAGCTTTATTACTCACAGAACACGAGCACATAAGAATGCTTTATTTTTCATGGTTTATTCATAAAATTTCTCGAAGCAGCGAGCTTGACAAGGATCAGCAAGTAATAAAGACTGAGGATATCACGAAAAATTAAAGAATAACAGCGAGCTATTTTTAGGTTAACTTGCAAACAATTCTTCTTTAGAGTACGCCCTTTTCGAAAAGAGCTTTAGCTTCATAAAACATTTATAGAGTATCATGGAAAATAACGTTACGAAGAACTTGTATCATGTATTTAAGCAATCAAACAAAAACTGAATATCCTTTTTACTGATTAAAAATGTATTACATACTGATTTTTACTTTATCTATTTGTTTGTACCATACATGCACTTGTTTCCTTCCTTTGCTAAATTATTAGTATAACTTTGAGATATTCTCTATCGGAATTTTCAGACATGTTTTTTTCCTTCCTTTCTTTTTTCAATTTTATAAAACTGGCGTAATTTTATAAAACTCCTGTATTTTAATTTCCCGGCATAGGGCTTTCTCTTCAAATATGTCTCGTGCTCCATTGCGCGGGAATATAAAACAATTTTAATTACAAATTATAGTAAAATTACAGTACCAAATTATACTACATAAACACAATACAATACCAAATGCAGTAGTACCAAATTATATTAAATAAATAAATGCAAAAAAGTAAGAATATTTTTATTAGCCCTTATACATATTTTAAAGCCCGACTGAAACCGATTAACCTATACT